TCGACGGAAAATAAATCAAGGAAAAAAGTCAATGAGAACGCGTGATATGAATGTTTACACCCATTTTTCTGAAAAACAAAACAAGCACTCAGACCGAATCAATTTTTATCTTCATCCTATAAGTCAAAGTGAATTCAATGGCGTTTAAATAGCGTTTCAATGCATTAGGCCTAATTTAGAATCCGTAGGCCGAGTTTGGGGCCAAGAAGCAGTGTTAGATTTTTAGCAATATATCAACAATTTGTTTCTCTTTAGCAAATCTTACGGTACGTACGGAAAAGTAAATAAATTTAGAAGTCATCTTTTGTGAAAACATTCCCTTTTGTGAAAAAAAAACCACTCGAAAAATAGAGGCAAAGGCCGGGCTGTGATTAATAGGCCTGAAGCCCAAATGTTGTGGTTGAATAAATTTTCCAGATTTGTGTGAACAAAGCCTGAACAGAAGTTATTATTAAAAATAGTAAAAGTATTATTAAGCCTGCAGTTGCATAAGATAAGTCGTTTCTTCAATAGGCAATTGCTAGTTGGGGTGGAAGTAGGATTTAAATCTAATTTTGGTCCTGCCAAGAACAATCTGCACTTTACCACTCTTTTCCGAGCGGTTTTTAACGTAAAATAGAATGTTCTATAAATAACTTCTTAATTTATTTACCTTTCCATATGTACCGTTAGATTGGATAAAAAGTAGCAAATTGTTGAGATATTGTTAAAAATCTAATGCTATCTTCAGATTACGGAGTTCAAATCGTGTTAGGCTATCTTGATGTCGTTTTTCTGGTTGATAATTTGAATAATTTCATTGTATTGTTACATAATAATAACATGTTAGAACTCTGTAGTCTGAAAAAGGCATACTGCTTCTTGATTTCAAATTCTTTCTATGAGTAGCAATTCCGTCTTAACGCATTGAAAATCCATTGGATTTTCTTCGTCCTACGGATGAAGTTAAAAATGGAATCGAAAAACTGCTTCTTCACTTCTTTTGAGCAAAAATTATGTTTGGCTACTGAGTGTCGGAAAATGTTATGCTAAATGCTGCGTTTGGGCCTTTATTGTCAAGCTGCACGGCGGTGTCCAAATTACCGAGATTCGCTTAACCAATCTTAGTGGTTAACATTTCAGAGTGGCTTAATCATAGGCCAGAAGAAGAGGTTCATTTAAAATTAACTTATTGTGGACAAAAAATAGTTGTAAATAAACGCACCAAACATTCCCGTTGTTCCAGTTTTTGACATAGCTCTTAAATAGGACAAAGCCTCCTATATGAATTAACCAGATAAAAATAAATAGGAGGGATCCAATACAAGCACTAAATGTCTCTATGAATATGATGTGTAGTATAATTCGTACGGCTGGCATAATCATAATCATTCACAGAGCTCAAAAATATTAAATATCGTTTGTAATTCGGATGTTTTCCCACTTATCGTTATGAAAAAAATAAAAACTCTCGCCTTCCATCTTCCTATTAAATAGCACAATTTAAAGAGCATGAATATACATGTTAAAAGATGTTTTTTTTTACAAGAAACATAATGATATTGCACATGTCTCACCAAACCAGATCGATATTGCTTAGATGTAATTTGTTTTCACTGCCTATTAAAGTCTAGTATATGTAAGTCAATAAGGCGGTGTTCTATTTGGTGTGATAATTAAAAAAACGAATGTTCAAATGTTTTATCATACTCGTTTGAAAATCCGTCTATTGTCGATTGACCGATTTTCGATTAGAGGAGTGTCAATATTTAATTTGTTTTCTAACCACGCATCAGGGGATAACTTTGTATCGTCATTTGTTTATCAACGGTTCATTCACTGTTTCGGTCATACTGCCAAATCTAATCATGTGGCAGGATTGTTGGGGAAGAACTATCAGTAGAAATTTTCCTGAAAATTTCCTGCAAAAAGATGATGCGCGATGCAAGTAGATGCGAAAAATGAAAGAAGATTTTTCGAACATTGACTCGCTAGAGTGAGATTTTTGAGCATCTATAATTGAGATATAGATATGTCGCCCCCTTCGTAAATGATGCATGCTTAACAATCTCTCAATTATTGTGAAAATGCTAAGTAAAATACTAGTTGAGGACAGACGTAAAATTCCAGCTAAGACATTACAGCCATAAAAAAGAAGAAGACATATTTTAAACTTTAAACGGCGCCGGTGGTGTAGTGGTAAGCGTGATTACCTCTCACCCCAGCAGACCTGGGTTCAATCCCAGTCGGCGCCGCCGGGATGTTCTGAGGCATAACATCTCTGATCACGCCTTCCTTCGGATGGGAAGAAAGCCGTTGGTCCCCGGTTCATGAGTTGATGGGTCGATAGGTAGGGTCCAGGTGTAGGAGCTGCCTTCCTGGCACGTCGGTAGCATTGGTGCTCAGCACGGAAAACAAGATCGACGGAAAAAACCAACCAAAGGAAAAAAAAAATTTAAACTTTAGACATAGGCAAATTTTGCTGTCATCAGGGGGCAATTATCTTATTTTTACTCCCAAAGCAAATAATTTTCATTTCACGTTGAATCATAAAGTTTAGTTCTGAATTTCTAATTTAATTTTATACGTTGATCTGCCCATATACCTGGGTTAGTTGGTCACTAATAGTTGAATTGAGGTTAAAGACCTTTCTGCAAATTTGCATTGAATTATTGCAAATTAAGACCAGTGTGGACATCGATAATGGCCAAGTTCTTTTTGTTTGCTAAACGTGAATTGATTTTGAACCATTGACGTCTACATTGAAGCTATTGTAGGCATAAATGTTGCATGGATGATTCCAATTCGTTAACTGACTTGTATTATTTTTATGTAGCATTGAAACAAACAGAATAAAAGCAACTCTATATTGAATACCGTAATTCGGGAGCATATTAATCACATTAACCGGAAATATGAAAATAATTCTTACATTAAATAAAATTGACATACTTATGATATTGAAATCAGTAGGCAACTATGATGCGTGATTACTTATTATATTGAGTGTTTTGTTTAGATTTAGGATAAATTTGAAATCTCAAATTGGAAGATAAAGATATTGGGTGAAATTTATAACCCAAACTGCTCCCAAACCTGGACCCTACCTATCGACCCATCAACTCATGAACCGGGGACCAACTGCTTTGTTTCTCTTGCGAAGGAAGGCGTGATCAGAGATTGTATGCCTCAGAACATCCCGGTGGCGCCGACTGGGATTGAACCCAGGACTGCTGGAGTGAGAGGTTATCACGCTTACCACTACACCACCGGCGCCGGTAAAAAAATGATTGAGTGACACTTGGTTCAATGAAAAATGTTACTTTCAAGTTTAGGACAACAATGGTTCCAACCCTATGATTCCTTTTTTTTCCTTGGTTGGTTTTCCGTCGATCTTGTTTTTCGTACAGAGTACCAATGCTGCCGATGCCAGGGCGGCAGCACCTACACATGGACCCTACCTATCGACTCATCAACTCTTGGTCCGGGGACCAACGGCTTTACTTCCCTGAAAACTGATTTTGAATGTTATTGATCGTCAGTTAAATATAATTAAAAAATGGTGTAGAAATCTTTTTTTTTTGTAAATAGTAACTCGTCAAAGCTACCACTGGAGTCTCATAATAAAATGCACAAGATTTATTTTGATGTATATCATCTATTAAATGCTTCATTTTAGATCTTTATGTTTTTATACGTATATATAAAGATGTAGAGTATGATGGGGCAAGATTGGTCATCCACCTGTTTTTCAACATCAGCAAGATCAACACGGATACGAATTTTGTTTATTTAAATCAAAAACATAAATGTTCATTCTCTAAACAGATGATTGTTCAAAGTGAATTGAAACATATTTTAAACAAAAATTACGATTGAATTAAATTCAAAAGCATGTTTATTTTAACAATATAGAATTCAATCGTATTTGATTAGTTATTCAAAAATATCTATTTTTTGTTTCAACAGAAAATATTTTTGAATCAAAAATATTCGTACCGATTTTTAACGACACTTTTTTGGGGAGTACTGGTGGTAATTTGTTATGTTACACGCTAATAGTTACAAACTGAAATATGAGTAACTGCGGGCACGTATCCATATAAATAATGTTTTGCTTTTTATTAATGAATTTTACTCATTTTCATTTACCCATAATTCTAAGTAAAAAAATAGGTAAACCGTCTCCTGAATTTGGGTAAACAATTCTTATCGTGTCCTGTCTTCTTCCTCCTTGTTTACATTCAGCAGATTTTAGCTCCAGCTGCTGTGGTGCAGTGGTGACACCGAAGTCCATCAGGATTCGGAAACCCATGAAGGTCCAAAAGTTGCAGTATCGACTTGCTCGACTACCATCAAGGCGGATTCCTGGGCGCATTCTTTCAATAAGATTGAACGCTGGCTGGGAAAACCGCACGTGACGATTTATTTGTACGCCAATCGATCGGATAGGAATATTCGACATGTCAACATATCGTTCCAGGATCAGCCTATTTTCGCCCCCGATACGAAGAAACCGATCAAGTGTGGTCATTCCAGCAAGCGATCAATCGTTTATTAATACGGATCGGTTGAAGGAATCCAACTCGCACACTTTTAGTTGCTCTATTGTGCAAACTAAAGTAATTTCTAAAAAAAAAAGAAATTTTTAAATAAACTCGACGATGTTGTTAAGAAACATGAAAAGTATGTTTAAAATAAGCAAACCATCATTGGAAGTACATTAAACCTGCTGATATTGACAAACAAGTTTATCATATTTTCTATAACACTCTTGGGTTTTTCGTGACTTTCCCGGGGATTAGATTTTAACCCGTGACTTTGGCGTGAGAGGTACCATTACGTAGGAGCCATCCCCAACAGATAAATGAATAATGTACTAACTGACCTATCTTGCCCTACCTTACCATATATATCTTTCTATTACCTAAAAATCCAAAGTAAGATATGTAATTTTAAACATGAGATTTTAAGCATTATTCTATCCAAAATCATAATCTGTAGTTCCAATGTATACTAACCATACATAGAAAAATTATGATAAATGCTGGTTTCATTTTCACCAAGGAATGCGAATTGATTTGTGTTTATCAGCCAAGCTCGTTTGTTTAAACGTTTTCGATTAAATGTCAATTATTCACCACATATTCAACCGATATCACTAAAGCGAAAGTGTACACTGCGGACTTACAAATAGCACTGAACTTGAATAAAAACAAATCACAATTGCAACGTACGTACTCCCTTGTGGTTTCAGATCAATGGTTACCCCTCTCTAAACGAAGTGAATTACCAAAAAGCTGAGCAGTTTTGTCGTGCGTTCGACTCCTATGCTCCTACCGATCAATGCAATGCAAAGAGTCTTTAAACAACGTCGTTTACTATTCCGCCTGTCTTGAACGTGAGCACCTTGAACGTGACTCTTCGTTCAGTTTAGTGTCACGCAGAAATGTTTTTGACCGCGTGATAATATGATAATAAGATGCCATTGGTTAGGAAGACTTCCAATACAAGTTAGCATTCTGTCAGTTAGTCATCTTGACTTAACAATTGTAATTACATTTTTACAATGTACTTTTGCCAATGCACTGGTTCTAATAGAATGGTTTTGGTCTTTACGGTTTGCTCAATCAAAATGATAGTTAAGTACACTTGAGTAAGTGATATCATGTGTGACTGAAATCTTGGAAACTTTTATCAGATTACCACTAGAATGTTAAAGTTTGTGCTGAATTTTATCTGTGAATAAGTGTATGCGATATATCGAGTTATTCCGTTTATTTCTCTTCCACGGAATTTGCGGAATATTTTAAAGATTTCTCGTATGTTTTTAGATTCATTTCGTTTCGGAGCAGACAATTTTCGAGTGGAATTATTTCCATGTTTTCAAAATGTAACGGAATTAGTTATTTATTTATTTATTTTCAATAGAATTGGAAACTAACATTCAAGCAATTATCTTAAGTTTACAAAATAATCGACAATATGGGAAGAGGGGGATACTTGATCCTCCCTTTTTTCTATATTGCTACCAGTAATGTGTAAATTTAAACTTTTTGTCTGTTACATCAAAAACTCGTTACTAAGACACACTTCAATGACTATACTGCCTATAATCGCATATCAGTGATCTTGACCTCATCAGGCACCTACTTTCATATTATGTGATAAAACTAAGAACTTTGATCACGAAAAATGTGAAAACAACATCAAGTCCGTTTATCCCATCAATCAAAGTAATATCATATCAGTCTCAGCCTGAAATTCAATCGTCCAGAGGTCAAGTTACGGTTTTACTTTTAGAGTTTCCATATTTTTCGCTGAGATAAAAAAAACATGCAAACTTTATTGCAACTGATTTTAACTTGAAAAAATATCAGTAAATTAACTATGATTTGTCGAGTCCGCATCATGCTCTTTTGCCGTGTGGATCTATTTGCCAGCAAAAAAATTTTCTCAAGGGTGACCTTCAGAAACTTACCCGTCATAGGTCTAAATTCTTTATTTTTGGTGACTTTAATGCAAAACACCACTCATGGAATAATGCTCAAAGCAATTCCAATGGTGATATTCTGTTTGATGATTGTTCTGTAGGTTATTACACTATTCAATATCCAAACAGCCCAACATGCTTTTCTTCTGCAAGAAATCCCTCAACTATTGATTTGGTCTTAACTGATTCATGTCAAATTTGTAGCCAATTGGTTACCCATGCTGAATTCGGTTCTGATCACCTTCCAGTAGCTTTTGAAATAACCCAAGAAATAATTTCTAATCCCAACAGCTCTACTTTCAATTACCATTGAGCTGATTGGGAGCAATATCGAACATTTAACTTCGAACATAACTTCGATCCAAACATTCCTTTGCAAATCAAAGAAGAAATTAATTATGCTCTTGAATCTCTGACTACTTCTATAGTTGAAGCAAGAGCTGCCTCAGTACCAAAATGCGAGGTTAAATTCGATTCAATTATAATAGACGACAATCTTCAGCTCTTGATCCGTCTTAAAAATGTCCGTAGGATACAATATCAAAGATTACATGAAAGTTATCTGGCGGGATTTGCAAAAACAAATTAAAAAGCGATTCTCTGCCCTGAGGAACAAAACTATTGAAAATAATGTTTCTAAGTTAGACCCGAGTTCCAAACCCTTTTGGAAACTAACAAAAAAAAATTAAAAAAAACCTCAAAAACCTATTCCAGCGCTTAAAGAAGCTGGTAAAATTTTGATCACAAATTTGGGAAAGCTCAGAAACTAGATACTATCAGATACTATCCTATTGAGAATCAGGTTGGTCGAGATTATCTGAATATTTTCTCTCGGGAAAGCTCCATGAAAGCTCCAGGTGAAAATATTTAACGCATGTTTCCATTTGGCATACTTTCCTGATAAATGGAAAAATGCAAAAGTTGTTCCAATTTTGAAACCGGATAAAAATCCAGCTGAAGCTTCTAGCTACCGTCCAATAAGTTTGCATTCTTCAATAAGTAAACTTTTTGAAAAGATAATTTTAAATAGAATGATGCTTCACATCAATACGAACTCATTTTTTGCAGATGAGCAGTTTGGATTTCGCCATGGGCATTCAACTACTCATCAACTCTTAAGAGTTACCAATTTAATTCGTTCAAACAAATCTGAAGGCCACTCAACTGGAGTTGCTCTTCTAGACATATAAAAAGCATTTGACAGTGTTTGGCATGAAGGATTGATTGCTAAATTGAAAAAGTTTAATTTTCCACTTTATATTATGAAATTAGTTCAAAATTATTTAACTGACAGAACTCTGCAGGTAATTATCAGAATTCCAAATCCAATCGACTACCTGTTAGAGCAGGAGTTCCTCAGGGTAGCATTCTTGGGCCTATATTGTATAACATTTTCACTTCGGACCTCCCTAATTTGCCTGAGGGTTGCCACAAATCTTTGTTCGCTGATGACACAGGCATTTCCGCTAAAGGAAGAAGCCTTCGTGTTATTTGCAGCAGACTGCAGAAAAGTTTAGATATTTTCTTTTCTTATTTACAAAAATGGAAGATTTCTCCCAACGGTTCCAAAACTCAACTTATAATATTTCCACATAAGCCTAGAGCTTCCTTTTTTAAACCTAGTAGTAGTCACATAGTCACTATGAACGGAGTTCCAATTTCCTGGTCAAACCAAGTGAAATATCTTGGATTAATACTTGACCAAAAATTAACTTTTAAAGATCACATTGAGGGCATTCAAGCCAAATGTAACAAATATATAAAATGTCGGTAAACTTCTAATATTTAAACAAGTTTTTGGACCGGCCATGCTTAACGCTGTGCCAATATGGTCTAGTTGTTGCACTACCAGGAAAAAAGAACAAAGTTCTGAAGATGATTTTGAAGTTGCCTCCCTGGTACAGTACTACCGAAGTACATAGAATTTCGAATGTTGAGACTTTAGAACAAATGTCCAACAAAATAATTAATAATTTCAGGCAAAAATCGTTGCAATTCTCAATTGCAACGATTAATTCCCTTTATACATAGATAAGATTTAGTTTTAGTTTTTAGTTTTAAGATTTCAGTTGTTATACTGACATGCAGGTTTAAAAAACCTGTTTAAAATACTGAATTGCCAAGGCAGGAACAATGTAAAAACACTTAGATGTATATCATAACAATTAAGGCTGGTAAGTTACAGTAGTAACTGGAGCACCTAGGTTAAAATGAAATGTAATTTATTTTGAATTTGGAACGAATAAAGAGTTAAAAAAAAAACTATGATTTGTCAAATATTTACATGGGCATTTTGATTTTTTCAAATATTTACATAGGAATGAAATATTTACATGGGTAGCAGCAGTATAGCAGAAAAGAACTAGAAAATTATGTTCAAAGAAGTTTAAATCGTTTTTTTTCTGAAATTTTGGGAGCCTGGGGAGACTTGATTCCTTGTTTTATAAAATGGTTTGATATCTAGTCTTTAAATACAGCAATTGAGAATCTTTTTCGCCTAAATAAACTACCAGCCAAAAACCCACCATATCTAATAATGTTAGTCAACGATTTTCATGACGCATGGACCACAATGGCCCAGCCTTTTTTTATGTAGGGGGGAATCTGCTCACAGGCACCTGAGAAGGAACTCAGGGTGTTAGGATGGGAGAATTTCACTCCCGACCCACTAAACCTTACCCTGTGCGCTTGGCCCTTGACCTCCCCGGAACCGCCCGAAGGCATTACTTCGTGGGAGGGGCCGGAGGGCTGCAACTGCTGCTCGGCACGCCACTTGCGTTGTAATTCCGAAACTATGTGGGTGACCGCAGTCACCACCGCGCTCCAGTTCTCGGTGGTACCACACATCCTAGGAACGATGTTATCCGGGCTCCGCATATCACTAGCATAGCGCTCGATACTGGCTCGAAGCGTGGACAGGCGAACACAACGTGTTCGGCGTTCTCCTCGACGCCAGCACACCTGGGGCAGATGGGAGTACTTGCATGTCCGAACCTATGCAAGTAGCTCTTAAAGCAGCCATGGCCTGACAGGAACTGTGTCAGGTGGAAGTTTACTTCCCCGTGGCGCCTGGTGACCCAGCTTGATACGGAAGGTATCAAGCGGTAAGTCCACCTCCCCTTTGTGGAGTTTTCCCACTCCGATTGTCATCTCGCGGTCGACACAGCACGCGCGTTGTTGCGCACCCCTCGAACGGTCCTCGCGTCATAGCACACCACGTCCTCCTTAATGATAAGGCTGATTGGCATCATCCCTGCTATGACACAGACGGCCTCTCTCGAGATAGTGCGGTATGCACTGGCCACCCTCAAGCACATTAGCCTGTGTGTGCTCTCTAATTTCCGCCTGTGGGAGTCAATATCCAGTACCGCAGCCCACGCAGGGCCGCCGTATCTGAGGATAGATACTACGACCCCAGCGAGGAGCCTGCGCTTACTGGCATTCACTGCCGAGCTGTTTGACATCATGCGGGATAATGCCCCCACAGCCGTAGACGCTCTCTTGCAGGCGTACTCGACGTGGCAGCCGAAGCTGAGCTTATCATCGAGCATAACCCCCAAGAGTTTCAGAGAGCGCACAGACCTAATTGTGCTTCCGCCGACTTTCAACGTCGCATGCTGTACTGATATGCGATTGTTGACTACGACCACTTTCGTCTTGTGATGGGCAAGCTCCAGTTTCCTGGATCTCAT